GCTATATGAGCATTAAAGCAGCACTAAGTAGGAATTTCGTTTTTGTCAAACAGCGACCCCTAGATAGGGTGACCACCTGCTAATAAGCCCAAGGGGGGACAAGGGGTGTGTTTCTGAGGGACAATGTGGGACACTGCCTGGCGCGGCGGTGCCCCCACCCCACGGGCAGACTCACTGATAGTGGTTTACCCATTTCTAGCACACACCACCTTACATGGTATATTTAATAATGCCCTATTCCCCATAAACATGTGTAATTGCTGATGAATGCTCATGAATAGGCCAACCAATGTGTATTTTTTTCTAAATAAAGATTCATAACATTTTGAACATTCAATGAATTGACAGATGCACTTCCACTTTTACTTTAGCTATTTAATTTTATTTATTTTTCATTACAATTTATTCACTTTAAATAAATAATAATATAAAATTATAGGATTAACAGGAATTGTAGTTGCTCAACACCACAAGAACAGTTAAAAAAAAATCTTCACTCACAACTCCAGAGGTTCACGGAACGAGAAGGTGCGCTCACTGCGCTGTCATGACAACAATGAAAAAGTTGACAACAACCCAGTCAGCAGTTCAACTGAGGTCACGTGGGTGTGGCAACAGTAGCGTGCTGAACTGTCAAGTAATGTTCGTTTGGCTGCCTGGGGCTCGAGGATATAGAGCGACCGACTTTTTTTTTTTTTGAGCAAGCATTGATTATGCGTGACACGGTCTCAATTTGCGGGACGCATGAATTGGGCTTCAAACGCTGTGCGCACACGCGCTACGCGGGACGGGTGGTCACCCTACCCATAGAGTCGCTGTGGAGTACTTGTACTGTCGTGAATAGCACTCACGCAGAGATGGCTCGCACTCACGGCCGGATCCCCTCCCCCTGTACGCCGGTACCTGTTCAGTAGGATGGACGCTGTAACGAGTGTAAATAAGGTATGGCCCCTTTAAGAGCTGCGCGCGCCCAGCCGGCCCAAAGTTGCAAGGGTGGTTTTGCGGCTCACAGGCACCAGGGAGGTGCGAGACGACCACCATTCAACACGAAATCAGTAATATAAACATTACAATGACTCCAAAGCTGTTTGGTTAAAGTAAAAAAGTTACTTAGTTCACCTTTAATACATAGGGGCAGGAAGAAGTACTTTCGAAACCAGCCTTATTATTGCAGAGATGGGGTTTGGATCTCATTGAGTGCATTGTGTACGTAATTCGATTTTTTGATCCAGACACTTTTTATTTGACCTACCTTTAGTCTTCTGCATTCTCCTTACCCGTGTCTCCTGTTCTTCCCTCAGACTCATCCCCCAGAAACAGTCCCACGGACCCAGCCCTAAACCCCATCTCTGCCATAATAATTAAGGCTGGTTTCTAAAGTACTTCTTCCTGCCTCTATGTATTAATGCTCATGGGTAGCCTAAATGGGTTCCATTCAGACCTTAACATTAAGTATTTTACTGTTATATGTCAACAAGATTTAGAGCTAGTTTCCGTGTCCAGGGATGGGGTTGTCGAGGCCCCCACCTTCGACTGCCGCCCGATCCACTAAGCACCGGGCCCTTACGGTCCCTCCTGCAGGTGATGAGCCCACGGGAAGGCGGCCCCACGTCGCTCCTTCTGGCTGAGCCCGGTCGGACCCCATGGGGGGAAGCGCCCCGGCTGCGCCATGCCGGGCGACGTCACGGTCCTTGAATTTAACTCCATCATAAAGGGGTTTTTGAACCGCTCTTAGTCTGACCCGTCACCTCGGACCTGTTTGCCTTGGGAGACCCTACAAGGGACATATAGCCCCGGAGAACAGCTCCTAGGGTCATTCGGGTACTCAAACCCCTTCACCACGGTAAGGTGGCAGTTCAGGGTGGCTTGCCCGCTTCAGGTTGGTGGAGAGTTCCTGCCTCAAGTGGAGGAGTTCAAGCATCTCAGGGTCTTGTTCACGAGTGAGGGAAGGATGGAACGGGAGATTGACAGACGGATCGGTGCAGCTTCTGCAGTAATGCGGTCGATGTCCCGGTCTGTCGTGGTGAAGAAAGAGCTGAGCCGCAAGGCGAAGCTCTCGATTTAACGGTCAATCTACGTTCCTACTCTCACCTATGATCATGAGATGTGGGTCATGACCGAAAGGACAAGATCCCGGATACCGGCGGCCGAAATGAGCTTTCTCCGCAGGGTGGCTGGGCGCTCCCTTAGAGATAGGGTGAGGAGCTCGGTCACTCAGGAGGTGCTCAGTGTAGAGCCGCTGCTCCTCCACACCGAGAGGGGTCAGCTGAGGTGGCTCGGGCATCTGTTCCAGTGTCTAGGGAGAGGGAAGTCTGGGCGTCTCTGCTTAGAAAGAAAGAAGAGGAATGATGGATGGATGTCAAGACGATTCAACAAGACATTTTCACCTGGCTATACCCAATGTTTAGATCTGTTGTGGTATTTATGCAAATTAGCACATATGTAATTATATTATGCACCGTTTGTCCATGTTAACAAACAATTTAAAAAAACTTGATGTAAGTAATCAATTCAGTAATTTCCATGGTGATATCTAAAGGTTAATATTTTTACCCAATTCACATGAGAAAAAGAATGAATAGGCAATATTTGGGTCTTTTTCTAAATTTTCCCCTAATAGGATTCTTCGGGGCTTTTTTTTTTCTTACTCAGGACATATTGAGGATACAAAATCAGTTGAGTTTGCTTCTGTTGCAATTTGTTCAAGGTTGACCCCCATTCTGGCTTAAAATTACTGGACCAACTGGGCAGTGGTGGACGAAGTACACATACCATGTACTTGAGTAAAAGTAAAGATACTCAAGGTAAAATATTACTCAAGTAAAAGTAGAAGTGCTGCCTTTAAAAATTCACTTGAGTAAAAGTACAAAAGTATTTGCCTTCAAATGTACTTGAGTATCCAAGTACTTTGATATTTTATGGCCATAATGTCCTATTATAATTTGTCACAAGACTCTTGCTTAACTCAGTCTAAGTGAAGACTAATGTCACTCTTGGCACACCAATCTATTAATGAAATGACATTAATTAGTCTGATATATATACTGTATATATATATATATATATATATATATATATATATATATATATATATATATATATATATATATATACAGTATATTGGAATTGAATTAATTTTTGTATGTGTTTAATTTTGGAGGGAAGGGGACTGTTCCCATAAGGTATAAAACATGTACAGTATTTACTGTATATATTTTTCTCCAGCGCCTATGGTCATAATTATTAACATCTTAATTTTATATGACATTTATATATATATATATATACACTCATATATATATACACTCGCGCGCACACACACACACACACATTCACACACATACATAGGCCTACATATATATTCTATATTCTATGTTATGGGAGCAGCCAATTTCCCTCCAAAATTAAACACAAAAACGTATTAATGCAGTGTTTCTGCTAGGCTACTCCCCAGAAAGAAAAAAAACTATTATATGCAAGTAATTTTAGTGGCAACGTAAGCAATGTAGATTATGCGTCAATACTTACCAATAATTGCTGCAATAATAGCTGCTGCTCTCTGTCCCGCTTAAAATCATTGTCAACGCGATTTGTTTGGAACTATTGAGAGCCACACGAATAAAGTGACCGCGCGGCGGCGAGATCACTGTCACAACCATCTATGTTCGCAACTCTCATATTTAACGGCTCTGGTTCGCGCTTAGTAGATAACGCCTAGTAGATAACGCCAAGGCAAGTTCAAAACAAAGCGGGCGCGCTGTACTGTGATTGGTGGCTCGTTTGTCCAGTTACGTTTTTATCCACTCATAAATAAAAAGGAACGACTGATTTTGAAAATTTAGTAGAGTAAAAAGTACGATATTTGACTTTGAAATGTAGTGGAGTTAAAGTAAAAGTCTCTCAAAATGTAAATACTTGAGTAAAGTACAGATACGCAAAAAAGCTACTTCAGTACAGTAACGAATTACATTTACTTCGTTACTGTCCACCACTGCAACTGGGGTAAGATGACCCACACTTCATTTTTTCTTCTTCTCTCATCTCAGCACTTTTGATGAATGGCTACGCTGTTTAATTTTGTCATTTCATCTGAATATCAACATTTGTAAAGTTTTGTCAGCCGAAACAGTTCTGAAGTTTATTGATCTAATTTTGTGTCTCTTGAAAATAGCAATATGTGACGTCATCATGTTAAATATAAATTTTTTTTGTGTCTATTTATTCATGAGAAATTTGTGGACACGTTGTTTTTGGATTTGTGGAGTAAAGTTGTAGCTTCTATTTGTGAAGTAAAAGTATACAATTAGACAATTGGGGTAAGATGGGCCACTTATATTTGGCACAGAAGGCCCCAAGTGGCATAGTGTTATTATTTTTAAATGTAATAATCATTGCAATCAATGGGGTTATTATTCAGTACACTGAATATAAATAATTCACATATTTCCATTAATGTAATGTACATTTCAGACATCTTTGCTTTCATTAAATATGTGAAATCATTCAATTTGCATTCATAGTGTTGCTATTATTACATATCTTTAATTAAAAATTGGCAATTAAATAAGTAAATATTCATATGCCTATATAAGTCACAGCATAATTTTACCTTTCAGATGAATCTGTTTAACTGGGATTCTGCATCGGTTACTCAATTATTATCAAATCATTTGTGAAAATAAAATGTATAGAGTAGTTGATGAAGTATTTTACATTAATAGCACTTTAAATATATATATTAATAAGAATTATATTAAAAGTCATTTGTGCATGCTGTAAAAGTTTATCCAGGGTAGGGACCATCTTATCCCTCTTTTAATATTTGACATTTTGTGCTTTAACAACTAAATTAGACTATCTACCTATCTATCTATCTATCTATCTATCTATCTATCTATCTATCTATCTATCTATCTATCTATCTATCTATCTATCTATCTATCTATCTATCTATCTATCTATCTATCTAGAGGTGTAGCGCCCCCTGCTGGCCGCCCGGAGTCACTGCTGTCGGTTGTAGATGTAAGTAACGCACAGAACTGCGGGACAGTGAGCGTGGGGAATATTACTGTTTACTTCTGAGCAGGGTTTGGGAAGCGCTCGCCTCATGGAGCTCATCTCATGAAAGTTAGCCTTTCTACCGCACGGACCTCTTGATACAGCGGGTAAACGCTTACAGCACTGGGTTTGTGTTTATCAAAGGCCCAGGCAGCGGCTCACAGAAGCTCCTCCAGCCCGCTCGACAGGCTTGAGCCCCGGGGCAGCTGAACGCGGAGTCCCGCTCGAGAGCATGGCTCAAACCGGAGCGCCTCCTCGGTGGAGGAACTGTCCCAGAAGAGGACAACCTGTGGCTGGTGAGCATATACCAGACTGTTGTCAACAAAGCTGCTTTGCTAATCCACACTCAGTCTCATTAATGCAATGATTCAGTTTCTTAGAGTTAGGCTATTATGGAGAGCATGAATGCACTCAATCACTGAACTGTGCGACTGCAGCTTCAAGTGAAACCAGATTGATCTGCTTTCGGTCTAACTGAAAGCTACCGTTAGCCTGTGCTTGGTTAACGTTTATAGCACTGACCACTGCACTGTGTCGTTTCCCAAAATTAACCAATGATAACTTTGCCTAAATTAACTAATGATGACTTAATGTGCGTGTGTTTTCAAATGGGAGCATGCACGACGTCAAGATACATACGAGGGCCACTCTAAACTTGTTTGTTGGGTCTGGTTTTTTAAATGGAGTGGCTAGCCAGATTAGCTCGCTACACGCAGATCAACACAATTTACGTCACTGGACAAGAGGCGGGAGCTGCGTGTGCTACTATGGCGAGGGCTTGATTCATGAATATTAATCACGCAATGTTACGCTCGGCCTCCTGATTCGCTGAGAGCCAGGCGTCGGCAGGATTGGAACGAATCGCACTATGGCGTAGAACCATAGACTTGTTTTTAGTCTATTTAAAAAAAAAAAAAATGCGTAGAACTGATTTGACCTCATTGTACGCTATGATGACGAAATTAATATTAAAGAGATTAGACTTCAACTGTAGTGTTTTGCACAGCAGCGGTTCCTAATTTATTTAGTCAGCTGAACAATAAAAAAAAAAAAAAAAATTCCCTGACATTTCATGCAGTGTTCTTACTTTCCCATGTATCTAAGAACATTTAGACATGTAGGCCTATCTAAGAACATTTATCTTTCTTTTGTTATTTTTTTTTTTTATGACATTGTATTTATTGTATGACATTTTACGTGGACAGCAAAGTAATTTCATTGTACAGGGAAACATGCTTTCTGTCTGTGCATATGACAATAAACTCTTTGAACTTTGAACTTTAGGACATGGTTATGTTTGGGCATCTAAGATCAGAGGAAAGTATTAAACTTAAAGGAATAGTTCACTTAAAAATGAAAATTCTGTCATAATTTTTCACATCTTCATGTTGTTTCAAACCTGTATGAGTTTCCTTCTTCCGCTGAACACAAAAGATATTTTGAAGAATATGGGTTATCAAACAGTTGATGGACCCCATTGACTTCCATAGTAGGAAAAAGAAAAAGAAAAAAACACTACAGAAGTCAATGGGGTACATCAAATGTTTGATTATCCATATTCTTCAAAATATCTTCTTTTGTGTTCAGCGGAAGAAAGAAATTCATACAGGGTTGAAATAACTTGAGGGTGAGTAAATGATGACAGATTTTTTTTTTTTTAAAGTGAACTATTCCTTTAATTGTGCTACATGTCATGCATATTATTATTAATACCATGGTATTACCGCCGATGCCAACATTGTACTTTGGTACCACAGAAATGCTTTCTGTAAAGGTTTCACTGAACCAAGCCATCATCGTGAGTGTCATAACATGCGCTTCTATGATGATTTCTCTCTTCAGGTAAATTTCTGCCCATGAAAACCATGCTTGGACCTCGGTATGATGACAAAGTGCCCGAGGAGAACCGGTTTCATCCCAGCATGCTGTCCAACTATCTCAAAAGCTTGAAGGTATATGGAGGTTCCTCTGAAACAGCTCTGTAATGCTCTTGTTCTGACCGAGCTGTGTTGATGTGATGCTCACCTGTCCGCAGGTGAAGATGGGTTTGCTGGTGGACCTGACCAACACCAGCCGCTTCTATGATCGAGCCGAGATCGAAAAAGAAGGAATCAAATACGTCAAACTTTCCTGTAAAGGGTATGTGAACCTCCGCAAATGAATACTGTGCTTTTTGTCCCTTGCATCTGAAATGTAACAGCGCATAAGAGAAGATCCCAGCATGCATGTATATATTTATGAAATATTTGCATGTATATACTGTATTTATATATGATTTAATAATATATTTTTTTCTTAAATAAATACATGCATGCCATGTGTGTGTATTTATATATACAAAATAATTATACTCAGTACACACACATATATAATGTAAACACAAACTTTTATTTTGGACGCGATTAATCATTTCTCAGCCCTAATATATAAGTTAATAAATAAGCAAAACATGGCATCTAGTTAACATATTCAAATCACAAAAAAGTTATTGAGTTACAAACTGTAAACTTACACTCAAATTTGTCTTGTGTGTGTTTTTTTTTCTAACAACCAAAATAAACATTTTGTAAATGTAATAAATTAGGTTTTAAAATAATATAATGTGTAAACTTATTTTTATGATTGAAATACAATACAAAACGACAGTGTTTTTAAACAGAATTAGAAGTTTTATTATAATTAAAGTGTATAGTGAATAGGGGTGGGGGAAAAAATCGATTCTTAGATGCATCGCGATGCGGACGTGGACGATTCTGAATCGATTCACAATTGTCAAAAATCGATTTTCAAAAAAAAAAAAAAATTTTTTTAGATATATATTTATAATAACGTAATATTGACGGAACGCGAAAGACGGAACTCTGAAGCGCGGAAGTGCAGTGGCCGGTCCGTCTGTGGCGTGCACATAACAGACGCGGACGCGATGGCTGAGCGCCAAATCCAAACACCCTCCTCGTTAAAAGCTGACGTGTGGAAATATTTTGGCTTCTGAAGTTGAAGGGGGAAAGGAGCTGGACAAGAGCCACACTAGTTGTAAGCTTTGTAGAGTAAAACTAAAATATTTCGGAAACAAGACACATGAAGCCAAATGACACGTTTCCAGCCAGAGGAGGAAAAACACTCGGCTGTAACGTTACCGGTCGTTGTTATATTATTAATTTACTACAAATATGCTGCTGCTAGTTCAGACACACATGTATTTTCCTGTTGGTTCTTTGCAATGTTAATAAAATATATTGTACGTTAATTCTTTATGGGTCATTACTTTGTACTTTTAAAGCAAAGTATTTATAGTCACACACACACAAAAAAGATTCTGATAATCGATTTAGCATCGAATCGCAGCCCTCTGAATCGTAATCGAATCGAATCGTGAGGTGCCTAGAGATTCCCACCCCTAATAGTGAATTAGCATGAAAGCGTGTGCGTGCTCAGACTGCCTTTTCATTTAATCTTAGTATGATAGACCTTCACGTGTGACTTTATTCTGCGTGAGATGGGGTAGTTTTAGCCACTCAGAGACGTCAGACCTGTTGCTGCTGTATGATGTCATACTAATGGATCTGTGTGTGTGCCGTTCGAGCCTCTCTGCTGTAGCTGACATGCTAGCGTTGATCTGTCATGCTAACATCATGTCATGTGTTTGTCTCACTCAGCCACGGTGAATGCCCCACGGCAGAGACTACAGAGATGTTCATCAGACTGTGTGAACACTTCATAGAGAAGACGCCCACCGAGCTCATCGGTAAGACCAGCCAGCTCAGCTTTGACGCTTGATTTTGTTTTTGCAAACCCTTATTCCAACAATAACACTGTGTGCTATCTAGTCACGGCGCAACATGCAGTTTTTCTTCAGTCATCTATATGACTTTTATGCTGATGTCCAATTTCCAAGAGTTATTTTCTCACTTGAGGAACAGACTGCAGTTTATTTTAAAGTGCCCCTATTATGTTTTATCTGATATGCTCGTTCCTGCAGTGTGTAATACTGCTGTTTGTGAACTTAAACGGTCTGCAAAGTTTTAAAGATCGAAGTGCTAAGATAGTAAATGGAGTTATTGCCTCCCGAGAGAAAGACGTGATTCTGACTGCCTGATACGAGTCGTCAGTATTTCCAGTCTTACTTCCTGCTTGAAGCTACATTCAAACACTGTAGCTGAAGCTTGAAGAGTTTGGTTCGTGTTGTTGTTCATATCCTAAGGATGAGATTGATATGGTAAAACCAATGCCATAGTTACTGTTCATATCACTGTATCAAGTGCTGAAGACCTGAAGACCAATCAGAGCAGAGTAGAACAATCACAACAGACTGGGCCATCTGACCAATCAGAGCAGAGTAGACCAATCACAACAGACTGGGCCATCTGACCAATCAGAGCAGAGTAGACCAATCACAACAGACTGGGCCATCTGACCAATCAGAGCAGAGTAGACCAATCACAACAGACTGGGCCATCTGACCAATCAGAGCAGAGTAGACCAATCACAACAGACTGGGCCATCTGACCAATCAGAGCAGAGTCGACCAATCACAACAGACTGGGCCATCTGACCAATCAGAGCAGAGTCGACCAATCACAACAGACTGGGCCATCTGACCAATCAGAGCAGAGTCGACCAATCACAACAGACTGGGCCATCTGACCAATCAGAGCAGAGTCGACCAATCACAACAGACTGGGCCATCTGACCAATCAGAGCAGAGTCGACCAATCACAACAGACTGGGTCATCTGACCAATCAGAGCAGAGTAGACCAATCACAACAGACTGGATCATCTGACCAATCAGAGCAGAGTCGACCAATCACAACAGACTGGGTCATCTGACCAATCAGAGCAGAGTCGACCAATCACAACAGACTGGGCCATCTGACCAATCAGAGCAGAGTAGACCAATCACAACAGACTGGGCCATCTGACCAATCAGAGCAGAGTCGACCAATCACAACAGACTGGGCCATCTGACCAATCAGAGCAGAGTAGACCAATCACAACAGACTGGGCCATCTGACCAATCAGAGCAGAGTAGACCATTTACAACAGACTGGGCCATCTGACCAATCAGAGCAGAGTCGACCAATCACAACAGACTGGGCCATCTGACCAATCAGAGCAGAGTAGACCAATCACAACAGACTGGGCCATCTGACCAATCAGAGCAGAGTAGACCAATCACAGCAGACTGGATCATCTGACCAATCAGAGCAGAGTAGACCAATCACAGCAGACTGGGCCATCTGACCAATCAGAGCAGAGTAGACCAATCACAGCAGACTGGATCATCTGACCAATCAGAGCAGAGTAGACCAATCACAACAGACTGGGCCATCTGACCAATCAGAGCAGAGTAGACCAATCACAGCAGACTGGGCCATCTGACCAATCAGAGCAGAGTAGACCAATCACAACAGACTGGGCCATCTGACCAATCAGAGCAGAGTCGACCAATCACAACAGACTGGGCCATCTGACCAATCAGAGCAGAGTCGACCAATCACAACAGACTGGGCCATCTGACCAATCAGAGCAGAGTCGACCAATCACAACAGACTGGGCCATCTGACCAATCAGAGCAGAGTCGACCAATCACAACAGACTGGGTCATCTGACCAATCAGAGCAGAGTCGACCAATCACAACAGACTGGGCCATCTGACCAATCAGAGCAGAGTCGACCAATCACAACAGACTGGGCCATCTGACCAATCAGAGCAGAGTAGACCAATCACAACAGACTGGGCCATCTGACCAATCAGAGCAGAGTAGACCAATCACAACAGACTGGGCCATCTGACCAATCAGAGCAGAGTCGACCAATCACAACAGACTGGGCCATCTGACCAATCAGAGCAGAGTAGACCAATCACAACAGACTGGGCCATCTGACCAATCAGAGCAGAGTAGACCAATCACAGCAGACTGGATCATCTGACCAATCAGAGCAGAGTAGACCAATCACAGCAGACTGGGCCATCTGACCAATCAGAGCAGAGTAGACCAATCACAGCAGACTGGATCATCTGACCAATCAGAGCAGAGTCGACCAATCACAACAGACTGGACCCTCTGACCAATCAGAGCAGAGTAGACCAATCGAATTGCGAATGACATTTTAGAGTTACTGAAAGTGAAAATGCTGTGCTAAGCAACACATTTGGAGCCAGCCGGAATATATTTAATATTAAACAGAAATATAAGCCAAGCCCAAAAAAAAAACGTCCTGTTGCTTTGTCGCTCGCTGTCACATGACGTTTGTTCAGCACACGTGTTCTAAACCCCCCCAGAAATAATTTAATTTATAAATAATTTAACCATTTAAATGGATTTTATATAATTTTAAATCAAGGGGTTTGCTTTTTAATTGTTGTAAATAAATTAAAATCATCAATGCACAAATGAAACCTCTTTTCGTAAGTATTTTCTTATTTTTCATTTAACTAAAATGAATGTGGATTTGATAAGGTTTAGATATATGATATGATCAAGGCAAGAATAGGTGTACGAGAATGAAAGTAAAATTACTTTTCATTTAATGCTTATGAAGAAATGTTGGCTAGTAGAAGCTGACTTTGCCGGTTGATAACAGACCCACTACAGAGCGTCCGGTGAGAGACTTATATCAGGTATTCGGGAATAACCCATTTATTGTCACCACAACTCAGTACACTGAATAACCTCGACTTTGCATGTGTGTGTGGTTTTCTATAAATACAGATATAAGAAAATAGATAAGTACAAATAACAATAACAAATAATAGTAGTCACAATAAACATAGTAACAGTAATCTCCACAATGAATATTACATCACTATGATTAATATAGTACAATAGGAACAAATGTGCCATTATATGGAAAAATGCACTGATAAAAAATGATTAATACTGAGCGGTTGAAATGCGACACCTATGCCTGCTGAGGAAAGAAATGGAGCCGCTCTGTCTATCACATTAGTGCGCATGCGCCCAAAGCGTGCTTTAACTCTAGAAGTGAGCGATATATATATTACATAAACCATATAATGACTAAAAGGTACATAGATTATGTCTTCTAAATATAACAACGAAATACCTGAGGAAACTAGTATGCAAATATACACACGAACATCTTTACGAGCTAGTTCGCATCGTCACTCGCATACATTAACTTTTCCACATGCCGGGCTATTCAAACGTTTATAAACTAAATAGAAAGCAATGTATAAACAGGCTGCTACTTACTTTACAGGCACGCACACAACTTTAGCAAAGGTAAACACTACACTAAAGTAGCTTGCATCCATCCGCTTTCCCGATCGTCAGACTCGATTCAGTGGGCGGGAGCACTGACCTGCACGTCTTTTCCGCGGCGCGGATTGGCCCGCTGGACGGATGCTGCGACGAATGCGTCAATTTTGTCATATAACAAAGGAACTGAGACACTTGAATATAACACTAATGGTGGCCTTTTTTACAGCCGCCCCCAGATGTCCGTAAGGAAATATGTACAATAACAAAAGGCCTATAACATATACCACTCAAAATAGCTCTAATCTGGTATGGCAGGCAATTGGATGAGGCGTGCGACACCATGAGTGTGTACGACCTCTCTCCTACGTTAATTTGAGCTGTTCTTACTCTGCTGTCTACTCCGGGGAATACCCTTGACACCTGGCCCACCGGCCAGAGGGCTCTTGGCAATTGGGGGTCAACGATCAGGACGATGGTGCCAACCTGGATGTCAGATTTCTCATCCTGCCACTTCTGGCGGGTCTGAAGGCTTGGTAGGTAGAACCTGATGAATCGCTTCCAGAATTGGTCGGCAAGGACTTGACTATGCCGCCATCTGCGTCGACTGATCAGTTCAGATTCCGGATAAATCACAGGAGGAAGTGATGAATCTGGCCGCCCCATCAGAAGGGAATTTGGTGTGATGGGGTCCAGATCGGAAATATTGGATGAAGTGTAGCCCATTGGCTTGGAATTTAAGATCCCCTCGATCTCCACCAACATAGTGTACAGCACTTCGAAGGTGACAGACTGGGCGCCAAGTGTTGTCATCAAGGCCTGTTTTAGGGATCGAATCTCTCTTTCCCAGCTGCCACCAAAGTGTGGAGAATTAGGGGGATTGAAGTGGAATTGTATTTGCTGGCTTGCCAGCTGCTCTTGCAGTTCTGGGACCATAGCTGCGTATGCTTCTCTCAGTTCTCTCTCCCCTCCTTTGAAGTTGGTCCCTTGATCCGATAAAAGCTCGAATGGCTTGCCTCGTCTTGCGATGAATCGCCTGAGAGCCATGAGGAATGATTCAGAGTCGAGACTATGAAGGACGTCAATGTAGACTGCCCGGGTAGTGAGACATTTGAACAGGATGCCCCATTTCTTCTCGTTTCTGCGACCTACTTTAACAGTATATGGACCGAAACAATCCATTCCTGTTGAGTAGAAGGCGGGCTTGAATAAACGTAATCTGGCTGGAGGTAGGTCTGCCATTCTTGGTACCTCAGGGTTTTTTCTCCACTTCTGGCAGTCCATACAAGCACTCTGACACCGTTTGATGGCCTCTCTGCCTCGAAGAATCCAATATTTACGCCGAAGCTCGGCAAAGACTCTTTCAGGGCCTGGATGGTGGAGTTTATTGTCGTAACTCTGTATGAGCAGTTTAGAGACTGGGTGTTTCGGGTCTAGGACAATGGGGTGCACTGTATCTGGATCTAGATAAGGGCTCCAACGTAGGCGACCTCCTACTCTGATCAGCTGAGTCTCATGGTC